GAATAGCGACCTCCTGCGTGTTTTGTTCTGTTCTTCTGAGACAGGTCATTAGATCATTGGATCAAGTGATTATGTCTAACTCACAATGTTTGCATTGTGCGAAAGTGGTGACTAAGGGTATCCAGTGCATTGCCTGCAAACTCTGGGCATGTGGGCAAAAGCGTTGCTCGCAACTTACTGAACCGCTCTTCAAGGCCTATGCTGAGCACAAGGGTTTGCTATGGATTTGTCGGTATTGCATCGATGCTGCTGCGTTGGCCACATCAACATCCTGAAAGTCGTTCCTCTGCTCCTTCTGCTAGGCGTGCCAGGAAGCGGAGCAACACATCTTCTATCGACGCTCCACAGGTCGCGGTCACCCCGACCCGTCTACTTCTCATTCAGACCCATTGATACACATCCGGCCTGTTGAGCCTACGACGAAGTCATATGCGGACGTAATGAAGGAGAAAGCGACTTTGGCCTCGTGTGGCCAAGGTCCAGCCACATGTGTCACCAAGGCTAAGACTAAGTCTTTGAATAAACCTGAGCTTCCATCTTCTCAGTCACAAATGAAGATAATTCTGAACAGAATCTCTGAGTTGGAAAAGTGATAAAGGAAAATCCAGCATCTCGTAAGCCACCAATTCCAGAGCGCATTCAGCCATCTCGTGACCGCTGTCTCATCATCATGAACGCGGCGGAATCGGAAAAGGCTACCTCGGCGGAACGAATGTTGGATGATCAAATACTGCTCGAGAGGATGATTTCTCTACTGTTTGATGCAGGCCAGCAGGGAATAAACATTGTCTCTGCCTTCCGCCTCGGTAAGAAGCAGGAAAATTCTTCCAAGGTTCGACCCCTCAAGATTGTATGCGGAAACGAAGAGGAGTGCGCGCGCATCCTTCGACGGACTCCACGTCTCCACGTCTTCTACGTGTTACAAAACCTCTCTCCCGAGGACCGAATTAAAATGAAGAAGGCTGTAGAGGAGCTCCAAACACGCTGGGCGAGTGGTGAAACTGACCTACATATCGTGGATTTTTGCGTAGTTCGGAAGAGCACAAGAGTGCGCTGGAGGCCGATTCTTGTCACCCCCAGACAGTAAAGCATAAAAACGGACTACGCGTGCTATCTGCCAACGTACGCAGTCTAAGGAATAAACTAGACGAAATTCAGTTGCTTACTTCGGAGACTCGTCCAGACCTGATGGCCTTCACCGAAACCTGGCTATTCTCAGATATCACGGACTCGGAAGTGTCTATCCCTGGATATCATCACTCCCGGTCCGATCGCCACGGGGTGAGGTCAGGTGGTGGAGTAATTCTCTACTGGAAGACGGATCTCAAAGTACATCTAGTTAAAGCAATCAGTGACCAGGATGACAATTTCGAAGCCCTCTGGTGCCGTGTTCATGACGGACGCAGATCTCTCTTGGTCGGTGTCGTCTACAGAGCGCCATCGGGTCCCGGAGCACGCTTGTTGGGCTCGATAAGAATGTATGGTGGGCACAAAGACTGTTTAATCTTGGGGGATTTCAATGCACCGGATATCAATTGGGACCTACTTCTTTGTGATCGCCGATCTGACTCCTTCGACGCCACACTGCTTAAAACCGCTCTCGATTGCAGCCTCGTTCAACATGTCTTGACGCCTACTCGTATTTTCCCAGACCAGACCCCGCACATCTTGGATCTCGTGCTCTCCCCGGCAGATTCAGATGTCACGAACTTAATCGTTCTTCAACCCATAGGCAAGAGCGATCATTGTGTTGTTTCATTCCACTGGACTCGCCGTCTCACGATCCATAGCCACGGTGGTCACCGTCGAAATTTTTGGCGTGCCGACCCACTCCGTCTGAAAACGGCCGCAAGCGCTACGGAGTGGGGTATCCCTGAACACATGCACCTCGACGACGCATGGAATCTTGTACGCTCCAAAATGACGTCGTTAATTGAGCAGGTCGTTTCTTCATCTTATCAAAAGCCCTTCGCTAGAGGTCCACCTTGGATGGATCGAGAGTTGAGGTTAAACATGAATAGAAGACGTAAATTATGGGACCGCTATACGCAATCTCATTCAGAACTCGACTTCTCTCACTACAAGACAGTCAGAAATGTTTGTGTCTCAATGAAGCGCCAGAAACGCCAACGATACGAGCTATTCTTGGCAAAACACTCCAGCATCGCGCCTAAAATGCTCTACTCTTTTTTGAAAAGAAGCACTAGAGCTGGTAACGGCATCCCTGCTTTGTGTTCCTGCGATCATCAAGCTTTACTTCACGAGGACGCTGAGAAAGCTAGTCACTTGGCTAAGCAATACGCTTCTGTTTACGCGAAAGAAACGCCATTTAGTGACAGAGCCGTATCCACATTTCCATCTTCGTTGGCCCAAGTAGATATTAACACTGATTCTGTGATGAAACTTCTTCTTCAGTTAGATCCGTGTAGCTCACCCGGCCCTGATGGATTGCATCCTTTGTTCCTCAGGACTGTGGCGGAGTACATAGCTTCACCCATATGTCAAGTCTTTCGTCGCTCACTAGAAGCTGGCCGTCTTCCTTCAGCTTGGAAAGTGGGTATCGTCAAACCCATTTACAAAGGAGGAAGTCGACATGACCCGGCCAATTATCGTCCAATCTGTTTGACGTCAATAGTGTGTAAAGTTATGGAACGGATCCTAAAACAAGCTGTTACTCTTCATCTTGGGGGACAGAATGTCATTTCTTCTGCCCAGCATGGGTTCAGAAAAGCACGCTCCTGTACCTCGAACTTGCTCGTTGCTAAGGAGACCTGGGCAAGGTCGCTAGACTCCGGCAAATGCTTGGACGTTGTGTTTGTTGACTTCAGCAAAGCTTTTGACAAAGTCCCGCATGAACGGCTCCTGTTTAAGCTCCAAGGAATCGGTATTTCTGGGAACCTCCTGTCTTGGATCTCCGACTTCCTAAACGACCGCTCTATGCAAGTGAAGGTGAGTGACACATTTTCTGCTCCTGTTCTCATGACGAGCGGGGTCCCACAGGGCTCTGTCCTCGGTCCCGTACTTTTCAATATTTTCATCAACGACTTACCATCCACTCTTCAGACGGATTGCCTAATCTACGCTGACGACCTAAAGCTATGGATGGAAGTATCAAGCCTTGAAGACGCCGACCGATTACAAACTACGCTCAATCTACTCCATGACTGGTCGATTAAGTGGCAGTTGCCCGTAAATCGTGATAAATGCTCTGTTCTCCCCGTTGGCTCATCAAACCCATTTGGAACTTACCATATTGGTGGTTCCTTGCTCAGAAGCGCAACCCAAGAGAGGGATCTTGGAGTGATAGTGTCATCAGACCTCAAATCTATCCAAGACACCCAGAAGAGGGTCGCCGCGGCCTACAGGATGTTCCATTCTATACGTAGAGGGTTTTCTCTCCTGACCCCGGGACTTTTCCGACTCCTCTTTGGCTCGCATGTACGCCCGATTCTCGAATACGGACTACCCGCTGCCTACCCTCTCACCAAATCCGAATGTGATATGATAGAGAAGGTTCAACGGCGTGGATCCAAATCCGTCCCTGAGTTGCGAGACCTGTCGTATCCACACCGACTTCAACGACTGAACTTGTTCTCTCTAGGCTACCGCCGTCACCGAGGAGATTTGATTTTCACTCGACGTATTCTCAGAGGAGAACTGGGTTGCGAGTTACAGGACTTCTTTCAACTCAACACTGAGAGTTCGACACGAGGCCACCGCATGAAACTGTTCAAACCGAGGAATCTCCGTGTGCGGCTCAATTTGGCCTTATCAACTCGCGTGGTGAATGATTGGAACCGGTTGCCGGATCCTGTTGTTGATGCTGAGACAGAGGAACGTTTCAAACAACTGTTAGATTCTCACCTGAGCGCGCTGGGATTCTGCTGCCTCTAAGGCAGCTACAGTGGTCCTCTGCGGAAACTTCTACCGCAATGAACCACGCCATCTCCGCAATGATCGGGAAGTGAAGGAGCTGACAAAGGATCTTCCTTCTGCTCTCTATCATCCAATGATCCAATGAGTTTTTTGGTACAGTAAATGATTCCCTGTTATCTACCTATAAAAGTACGACACCGTGGACGCTCTAGCTAGGGGAACGGAGCAAGCACAGCACACAGCGGAGTCGCAAGTTGCAACCGAAGCGAGCGCCAAGCAAAAATGGCGATGAGCAAGCCAAGCATTCGAACTCAGCAATCAGTTCAACAAACCACATAGGTTGCTTAGGTGTACAATAAAATAACTTTAGTTAGAATTTTTCACAGGCAAACCGGAGAATCTCCAGACTGCTCCAGACTTCTTATTTATTAAGGCCGTGGGGCTTGAGCCGGTATGTAATGCTGTTGTGGACGCGTGACGCAGGGGGTTAGGTCCAGATCCACGTTATGGCTTGTCGTTGGGCAAGTGGTAGCTCCGGCAATTGGCGATGAATCATGAGGCTGTTGTCTTGCACTGGTATTAGTGTCGGCTAGGAATGCTCTTTGC